ATGAAATTCAACAGGTCCGGCATTACCCATCATTTCTCCTCTCCTCTGTTGATTTCTGCCTGCCATCCATGAAAACTCTGCCAGAAAGAGAAGGTAGCAGCCTCATGTACCAGGCAGATATAGCATGACCTTTCAGCACAAACACATTTTGCAATAATTTTGCCCACAGTGACTATCCCTGAAAAAAATGCTCATCCTTCTGGCAATCTGAACATTAACTCTTCTTATACAAGAGATCATTTCCCTTATTTTATGGCTCCCACCACCACTACTGGCCATTGTGAGCTTTTCAAAACATACAATGGAGTTAACTCTTTCCCCTTTATCATGTAGATAGGCACAATTAGCCATTAAGTGTGTTTCCCCACCCCCACCCACAAAGTGGGTTTTAGTACTGCTGCTTGATGCCTCCACAGGAAAGATGATTCACTGTGGAGCTACTTGATCCCAGACTTACCGGTAGGCTGGTCAAAGGTTGATCTCAGTTTGTCAAACCAAACTGAGGACAACTAGACATTAATGAACATCACCACTTTCATTTGGTTTATGGCTGCTTCACACAAACTGACATTTCCGATGTGGAAGTTGCATATTCACCACGTGTCTATTTTGCTGCCCGTGCACATGGCAAGATTCAGTTGTCAACTGTAGCATTCAAACAAGATGGACGCAGTTTCCTCAACCAAAATGGCTTCCATGAGGGGAGCGCATCTCGTGAGAAGTGGACCTGTTTACAGCCAACTGTTACATGTTCCCCAGTCCTAGTTCAACACTAAACCAGCAACAATGAACCTTTGGCCCTCCTGATGTTGTTGAACTACAACTCCCATCACCCCTCCCTGCCCATCGGTCATGCTAACTGGGCAGATGGCAATTGGACTCGAGCAAAATCTGGAGGGTTACATTTTTCCTCACCCCTGCTCCAGCCTTTGTGTCTTTAAAAGCAACCTGAGCCGCAAATGTCAGCAGGTGACAATGTTTCTCTCCAGTGCCTTGAAGGGCTGCCCTTGCTGAGTCATATGTATTAAATTTATGTAAAATTAGCAGGGAGCCTGCAGTTTGTTTGTTTTCTGGCAACCATAAAATGCCTTGCCAAGAGTAGGTGGCTACAGTTTAACCATACTATTCATTAGAGAGGTTTACTCTTGGTAACTGAGGAATGGAATGGCCTCTTTAATGCTAAATATAATGCAGAAATGTGGGTCCTTTGCCTTTCATTGATATTGACAACTTCTATCTATGTTCTAAGGTTCTTGCTGCATAGGAGCTAATGGAAGAAATTCTCATATCTTCTCCCTGCAACATGAGCTGCTGTATTTGAGGTCCTGAAAGCTCCTGGATATGGCAATATTTCTCTGTTTTGCTCCCAAGCGGGTTAGATTTCTCCTTTTCTGAATTTGGCTCACTGATGCTCTTTGGGTCCCCACAATGAACTTATTTTGAGTCAGACAAAGTGAACTCATTTTGAAGATGCTGTTTGCATTCCAAAAATGAACTTACTTTGAGTCAGACAAAACGAACTCATTTTGAGGATTTGGGCACCATCATCAATGAGCCAGCCATACGAGAAGCCTTAGTTATGAGATATGGTCTGTTTCTATTTCTGCTGCAGGTAACTGAATTTTGAAATTATCCCTGAGTGCAATTTCAAGCATTTTAGAGGATTTATTCAGGACACTAGCATCACAGAAAGGAATAGGCTGTCTTCAGTGTCACTTTGTATTTTGATGTATTCAAAGGATAGTCTTAGAGCTAAACATGTAACATTACATTAGCTGATGCATTTTCCTTACATATCTTGGGGGTGGACTTTTTGCATACGCATATATAGTCTCATATAAAGTTACCTTGGAGTACACCCAGGCATTGAAATCAGTGGGATTTACTTCTGACTAGATATGTATGAGATTGTGCTGTAAATTAGCAAAAGAGGTGGGAGGTGGCTACACTCCCTTTATAAATGCAGCACTTGTCAAGCTCCTTAGTACTGCTTGTTTTCCCACTATGAATACTTCTGGTCTTAAATATTTTTTACTTCTCCTTGAAGCATATGCATATAGTATTCGGTGTACTCACTCTTGGTTTATGCATTTTTGGTTCCCATTTCCCTGGGTTCTTTCTATCTGGACACTCAGACAATGGAAGCTGTTCCACACACATTGATACTTGTGGATAGCATAGAAACAGTGGCTTTTCTGCTTTAAACTGGGGATGTGAGAGTAGAAGGTGTTCAAAACGTTGGTGAAAATGCACAGGTTTGTCTGTGACCCCTTCATGATAAGGGGACACATGTCTTGGGTTTTTATTTCATTTAAAGTACTGTATTTTTCCATGTATACCGTATTTTTCGCACCATAGGACGCACTTTTTCCCTCCTAAAAAGCAAGGGAAAATGTGTGTGTGTCCTATGGAGGGAATGCAGGCTTTCGCTGAAGCCTGGAGAGTGAGAGGGGTCGGTGCGCACCGACCCCTCTCGCTCTCCAGGCTTCAGGAAGCTATCCGCTAGCCGTCGGAGACCCAGCTCTCCCACGGCTAGCGGAGCACTGCATTAATCCCGAAGCTTGGGGCGTGCGGAGCTCAGCGCGCCCCAAGCTTCTGGGTGCCGGCAAGGTCTCTGCTAGCCTAGCGGAGCAGAGCGCCCCTCGCGCCAGGAGCAGAGCGCCCCTCGCGCCAGGCATACATCCGCAGCATGGGGAGCCCTGCAGGAGTTCCCCGCAGGGCTCCCCATGCTGCGGATAGCAGCCTGCTTCCCGGAGCGTCGGGCGCCCTGAAAGCAGAGCGCCCGGCGCTTTGGGAACACATCCGCAGCGTGGGGACCCTTGCAGGAGTTCCCCGCAAGGCTCCCCAAGCTGCGGATAGCAGCCTGCCGCCCGGCGGGTGGGGCGCCCTGAAGCAGAGCGCCCCTCGCGCCAGGCAGACATCAGCCAGCCCCACAAGCTCGGGGGGCAGCAGGGAGGCGCAGCGCCACTATCCCGCTGTTCCTGGACCTGGTTCGGTTTCCCTGACCTGCTTTTGGGGGGGAAATAAAGGGAATTTTTTCCCCTTTATTTCCCCCCAAAAAACTAGGTGCGTCCTATGGTCCGGTGCGTCCAATCGTGCGAAAAATACGGTAAGTCTAGGTTTCCCCCCTAAAAATAATTAGGGGGCATCTTATACACAGATACATCTCCCCCCATTTTCTTAAATCTGAGTCCCCAAAAATAGGGGGCATATTATAGACGGAAAAATATGATATATGTGTAAAGCATCTTGTGCTATCAAACTAATGTTGACAATTAGCTATGTTGGTTGTTATGTACTCTTTCCTTGATACTACAGCATCCTAGGGACACATCCTAGTTCGAATCCCCACAATGGAGTGAGCTCCTGTTACTCTCTCCCAGCTCCTGCCAACCTAGCAGTTCAAAAGCATGCCAGTGCAAGTAGATAAATAGGTACTGCTGTGGCAAGAAGGTAAACGGTGTTTCTGTGCCCTCTGGTTTCTGTCACGGTGTTCCGTTGTGCCAGAAGCGGTTTAGTCATGCTGGCCACATGACCTGGAAAGCTGTCTGTGGACAAACGCCAGCTCCCTTGGCCTGAAAGCGAGATGAGCGCCGCAACCCCATAGCCGCCTTTGACTGGGGTCCTTTACCTTTACTACACCATCCTGTACTGATTTTTTTTTAAGGTAATATAATGCAATTTTGAATAGCGGGCATGAAATAACATTCAGCCACTTCTGGTTTGCTCAAATGGCTTCAAATCCTTGTTTGGTAAAAATGGCATTGATTTAAATGAGACTATGGGCATGATGAGCAAGGCATAGATTTCAGCAGCATTCTCCAGTAGCTCTGTTATTACTTGACTGGCATCCTGTATCTGATACTTCAGCTCCTGGAGTTGAGGATACTGAGGTTCCTGATTGTTTTCAAGTCACTGAAGAATACCAGTGTGGCTGAAATGCATCTGACAGTTTGAAATTTTAATCCGCAATCATAAAATTGTATAGTTGGAAGGGATCTCAAGGATCATCTAGTCCAACCCCATGCAATGAAGGAATACACAGCTGTCCCATATGGGAATCAAACCTGCAACCTTGATGTTATCAGCACCACGCCCTAACCAACTGAGCTATCTAGACATGATACTTGTGGACTTTATGGTAGTTTTCTCTGCATGAATGCTTGTTCCAAAATGTCGGCAGTTAGCCATCTGTTTTTAAATTCATGTATTGCAACTGTAGTTTTTGGCTTCGTTACATCCATTTAGATCTTCGGTTAAAGCATATTTTCTTCATGCTATTTCAACATAGAACTATTTTGTTGTTCTCCTTTGGACACCTGCATTAAAACGAAATCCAGCTTCCCTGCATTTTTTTTGTTGCAGGTGTCCATAGGCATCTTGGGTTCCTGATCTGCTTTTCGAAAGCCTTGTTGAGGCACACTTTGAGTGCCTGTCTCAGAATTTATGAATAGTAAGTGGAGGATTCTAATAGCTTACTTGAAGGCAAACAGCTATGATTGAAATAAGCCCAACGTCCTCAATCTATTCACTATTGTCCCAGCAAATTCTCCCATCAGCAGCCAGGTGTTTAGCAATTAGAGTCTTATAAAGATGCTATTTCTGGCATGTGTAAAATCATCCTGAGTGTCTATGAAATGTTTTACAAGTACGTTAGTGGGACCTCAAGTTTTAATTGACAACAGACTTTCCACTGATAAGGGAGTATTGCCAGACAGTTAAGGTTAAGGAACAAAGCTTGGATAGTGACACAGAGAGAGACAGAATGTTTTCTAAGGAGTGGGAGAGGAGACTCGCAGGACTGAGGGGAGTTGGAGGTGAGTAAGAAAAGCAGAGAGTCAAATTACTGAGAGGTGGAGCTAAAAGGCTCTTCAGGGAAGAGGAAGCTGCTGCAATCACACAGTGAGTCACATTACCCAAGGATTCTTTCTAGCATCCAGGTCCAAACTTTTGACTCTCAACACTAACAAATCGGTTTCTCTGACCCTGAATTTTTGCAGATTAACGCTGTTCTCCCAAAGCTCCCCTCCAGTATGGCTTCGAGGAGGAATAGCAGTGACCCAGCAAACAGGAGGAGGACAGAGAGACGCAGATCATCCCTGGAAGTTGCCTCAGGTAAGAGATGTGACTATCTGAATCTTTTGCTTTGATTACTGTAAAAGGATGAGTGGAACTATATCCTCAACCATTGCTTTCTTTTGCTGATCTTAAGGTCTGTTTTGACCTTATAAGAACATAAAACTAGTCTTGATGGATTAGCCCAAAGAGTTATCCAGCTTTCTGCTTCCCACAACAGCCAATCAGATGCCTCTGGAAAGCCCAAAAGCAGTACATGAAATGAGAGCCCTCTCCTGCTGTTGTTCCCAGGCAACCGGTTACCTCTCATCATGAAAGGTAGCTTTATGGCCATCCTGACTAGCTTTCCTTAGATTTGTCTAATTCGATTTCAAAACCACCTAAGATGTTGGCCATCAGCACGTCTTGTAGCAGCAAAGTCTATACAGTGGTATCTCATGTTACAAACACTTCAGGTTACATACTCCACTAACCCAGAAGTAGTACCTCAGGTTAAGAACTTTACCTCAGGATGAGAACAGAAATTATTTCGGTGACAGCAGGAGGCCCCATTAGCTAAAGTAGTACCTCAGGTTAAGAACGGTTTCAGGTTAAGAACAGACCTCCGGAACGAATTCAGTTCGTAACCAGAGATACCACTGTACTTTAGCTCTGCACTTCTGGTTTTTGTCTGTCTTGAATCCCCCATAATTCAGCTTCATTGGATGTCTCCAGATTCTAATATTATGGGGGATAAAAGATTTTATTTCCCTTTGGTATGTGTGTGGAGTTCACAGGTAACCTTTCCTTAGATACTTACAAGAGAGGCCTGTTTCATTTTAACTATGTAACAACAGTGCACAGGAAACCACTGATTTATAACAATTATCTAAATACTTAACGCTACACTCAAGTCAGTATGCGACTGTTTATTTAATACATTTGTATGCCATCCCGTAACATATAGTTAAGTAAACACAACTGAGATGCAAAGTAAAACATAAAGCTATTAAAAATAAAAATAATCCTAGCATTAAGTACAACAAAACAGAACTTGCTGCAGATTTTAAAAACAGAGGGCTAGATTCCCTACATTATTTGAATGGACTGGGTGAAGGTGTGTAATACAGGCATGGGAACATGTGGTCCTCTGGATGTTTCTGGACTACAACTCCCATCACCTCTGACCAATAGCTATGCTGGTAGTAACTGATGGGAGTTGGAGTCCAACTATGTCTAGAGGGCCGCAGGTTCCCCATCCCTGATTCAGTACATTCAGTGGAAGGTGCAGGCTGCAGCTGTCATCTATTTCCTCGCCAAAATTTCCAATGTGCCTGTTATAAAGGAATCAGTGCAATATAATTAAAAGTGCCAAGACTGAACTTAATTCAAAATGCTGAATGTGTTTTCAGCAGTCTTTCTTAGTGGCCGTTCTAAAAATCATTACATAGTCACTGTGTTGGGAAATAATCATAATTAAATAAAACGAGAGAGATTGAAAAATGGAAAGTATATAATAACTGAAAAAGTGTCCCTCCCAGTTCATGATGTAAATATTACCATTGCTTGTTTGTTTATTACATTTATATACTAACTTTTCCTCCAAGGAGTTTCAAAGTGGTGGTATACACGGTTCTCCCTTCCCTATTTTGTTCTCACAACAACCCTCTTAGGCTAAGAGACAGCGACTGGTCCAAAATTACCCAGTGAGCTTCACAGCTGAGTGGGGATTCAAGTCCTGGTCTCCCAGTTCCTAGTCCAATACTCACTATTACACCAGGACAATTAACCCACACAGTTAAGACTGGGAGATAATCCTTATCTCCTCATTCAGAAGTGTGATCCTTCTCTGCAACATCAGTCTTTTCCTTAGAATAATTTCCAGAGCGGTAATTGTGGTATAGTACAATTTTGTTCACAGCATATGAAGGTAGCCTGGTAGACTCATTAAAAAAGAAAGCCAAACTGTTACAAAATAGTGAGTAAGCATCTCCTACCTTCTCCCACATTCTGTCCATTGACTGCAATGTAAATACAGATTCTGTTGTTCAACATCAGCCAGCTTCTGTCCCCTACCCTTTAAAATGTTCTTTATGGTCTCTGTCCTGATTAAGAGTGCTGGAGAACCTGAAAGCTTGCTCACTACTTGGTAATATTTGGGTTGGCCCAGGAAAGTTACTGCTTCCTATGAATTTTGGAGACTTGTGCACAGGAGCTTGCTCAGTCTTGTCTACTCTGACTGGAAGGTTCTTCCCAGGATTTCAGAGTGGAGACTATCTTAGCCCTACCTGGAGATGCTGGGAATGAACCCGGTGCCTTCTGTGTGCAAAGCGGATCCTCTGTCACTGAGCTACAGCCCTTTCCTGTGTTTACTTAGAAGCGCTACTGCATTCAGTGGGGCTTACTGCCTAGTAAATGTGTCTAAGATAGGGGTCCACAGCACATTGTTTCATCATCCCATAGTTATCCTGCAGTCAATTGGAAGCCACAGAACCCGCGTCAGGCGTTCATGTTCCTAAGAACGTTTGCAAACCCGGAAAACTCACTTCCGGGTTTGTGGCGTTCCGGGAGCCAAAACATTTGACTCGCAAGGTGTTCGGGATCCAAGGTACAACTGTATTTGAGTTGGGCACACTCCTGATGAGCAAAATACTTTGCACAGGATCAGAGCTTGGAAGGTGTGTATGTGGAATCTCCCAAAGCTCTGGTGCAGGCAGGGGAAGGAATGTTCAATTGCAAAGACTTGCCTCAGTGGTGAGCCTTCATGCACATTTTAACCTGTTCTACTTGTGAACTTGCAAATGAGTCGTTGTAGCTTTGTCAATAGTATCCCATGTACAATTCTATGTTGCTTTGCTTTGGCTTTATCTTTTTAGACAGGATTACATTGTATAATTTGTATCACAGCAGTATCCACACTTTATTTTGTCTGCCCTGGATCTTCCAACATTCAGCATTGTTGAATGTCCCCAAGTTCTAATATTGTAAGAGAGTTTGTGACAGATTTAGTATAGTGGAAGTTAGAGAGAATGAAAGAAACAATCAGGTGGAAGCCAGGCAATTATTTCCTTGGATGGGGCTCCTGCTTCCCGCTAGCAGTTCAGATGTCAATATTTCTTTGCAAGATAGTTGGCACGTCTAATTAAAAATGAAAGCTGGCTTGTGTTAAGCTCAGTGGTTTGTTTTTCTACAAGTTGCATCGTGGCTGAGTTCAACAGTTTACTCCTAGGCAACTGTGCATAAGCCAAATTGCAGCATGCTAACCACTTCACCACCCTTGACAGGCTCTCTTTTCTATGGCTCTTGCATTATATACTGCTGCTCTTTGGGATGTGTTTGTGCACGGACTATTATCTGCAAATTCCTCTTTTAGTGTGTGCAAAATGCCATTTCTCCTTGTATCTCAACACTGGAGTGAGCTTTAAGTGTGTGCAATGTGGGTCTAGTAGCCTCAGGACAGGTACTTTGCTTCCCGATCCAGAGTTTATAGAGTGATGCTGTTATGATTGACTGCTCGAATTGCATCATATCTTCTGATGTGTTGTGGTGCTGTGGGAGGAGTGGTCCTCATTATGGGAATGGCTATAATTAATTTTTTTCTCTGTGGCCTCCATGTCATACATGTGCCATGTTCAGGGCTGGTATGAAGTCACACCAATGGCTGAGAATTGTGAACTAGAAGAAATGCAATGATGCACTTTGAATTTTGTATTTGAGATTATGTTTGTAAGCAGCCTAGAGGTTCCAGTGGAGGCAGTGCACAAATCCAATTTGTGGAAATAAAAAGTACCCCACAAAAGCACAAGTTACTTGTACCTTTTAAAAGTAAAAGGATAGAACAGAATATGCAGATTTGATGCATGTTTTAAAAAGCATGAATATATCAAAAGCGTAAACAAGGTTGACAAATACACAAGTTGGCCTTAATACTCCTGCTTATTAAGGTTGCCAACTTACTTGAGTAATGTTTAGAGGTGCAAAATGCATTTTAATCATGACACTATTTCCCTGTGCCGCCCATGTTCTCCCCATGACTCTGCCCCATTTCAGCCCTTTCATGGGTATATCTGTCACAGCAGTAGCATGTCTGAAGTTCTGTTGGCATGATGGTGGTGGTGCTCTGCCGAATCCTGTAGCTCGACCTTTCCCATCCTGGTGCCCACTAGATATTCTGGACTATCCCTCCCATCAGCCTCAGCCAGCAAGGCCAATAGCTGAGATGCTGGAAGCAGCAAAATTGGGTGGGTACCAGGTTGAAAAAGGCTGTTTGTTACAGTATATGGAACTTCAGTACAGGATTGTGCTCTGAAAGAGTGCAGTCTAACAGGAAAACAGTGACATTGCATAACAAGTGTGCTCATGGGCTGCTCTCATTCATTTCAACATAGCATGTGAGCAGGAAGGCATCCTGAGGCATTGTGCCTTTCTATTTAAATCTTATTTTAAACAAAATGAAAATGGAGCAGCAAAACAGGAAAAGTTCGTGATGATTTGAAAATAGAAATAGTTTCCGTTTCAAAGGTTTTGCTAACTTCGCATAATAGGTTGCCCCAAACCTTTTATATTTTGACCACGTCCTGTTTATAAAGCTGGTGTTTACAAAGCAAGATTTCTGCCTTCTTGTGTGAACCAGGCATGATTTCATCTACTCAGCTGAGCCCAAAGCACATTTGGTCGCTTCTGGTCACTCGAAGGCTGCCACCTCTTCCTTGAAATCCTTTGTTCCTAGGCGTTTTTCAGGTTATGTCCTCTGATGTTTGCTTTCCCCGTGTATGAAATTTGTTGTTGTTCGGTGCTCAGTTGACTCATCAGTGTTAGTGAGTCAACAGTTACAATTCAGCTAGATTTGTGCAAAGGGAAACAGCCTGGTTTCAACTGAAATACACCAGTAGATTAAATGAAAAAGCTTCTAGCAGATGCATGGAGCAGAAGAAGACAGTGTATTTCTTAACATAAACCCAGCTCCTAACTCCTTACAGGAGTGTTATTGTGTATAGCAAAAAAAAAAAGGTGTTTCAGGCATCTACAAAGCACACCTGTGTTTTCTCTCCTCTTTATCT